TTAAAATTTTATTTATTGGCTTTCTATTCTTCGTTCGTGTCGTAAAAAAGTGTAACTGTATGTGTTTGTATGTATATTGCTTTGTTGGTTGCTGGAGGCCGGTGTTCTGAGAAATTGTTCTACAAGCTAGAGACATGTTTTACAGAATTATGTTTCTCCGAAAACATTTCGGCTTTTATTCCACAGATTTTGTTTCATTTGTCCGACAACACGTTACAATTTTTTTGTATTACACCGTTTAATGTTTCACCATGACACGTTGACAAGTAATTTTATTTTCGATTCTCGTTTCCCCAATATTTGGTATGACTAACGAATATTTTGTTTTTGTACAAATAGCGATATCCATAATTCATATTTTATTTTACCTCGAATTTAATTTGGTGTGATTGCAATTGTATTAAAATGTAAATATAATATAATAAATAAAAATGTAATTATATTATTTTTTTTTTTAATAATAACGTACACACTCAACATAGCCCCGCACTAGGGATACCCTGTGTCACGAGTGCCATGAACACACACATAGACAACCACAAATTACACCCAAACTCACGAGAGAAATAAATGTAGGCCATACAAATATTTCTCCCGACCCGGGAATCGAACCTGGGACCTCTGCATGGTAACCGTTCGGCCACGGAGGCAGTTAAAATGTACTTAATTCATCGTAAAAGGTGGATTTGAACAAAATTATACACTTTCACTTAACTATATATCACGAAAGTTGTTATTCAACTTAGACAATTATTTGGAACATATTCGGAAATGTAAACAAATTCTCTTTTGCCTTTTCATATATATTCATATATTATTCATATGTAACTGTCTCGGTGGCCGAACGGTTACAAATGCTGAATTACTGGGTGTAATTTGTGGTTGTCTGTCTGTGTCCATGGCACCCGCGATACAGGGTTTCCCTAGTACGGGGCTATGAGTGTGTGCGTTATTATGATATTCCAACCTAACCCTGAACGTAATGTTAACCAATTTGATCTTGCCCAGGAATTTTATTTTCTAATTCATTTGCTATGTATTATCCGCTGGGACAATATATGATATAAAATTCAAAATGTGACTAAAAAATAAGGAAATTTATAAATTAATTAAGTGAGAGTTAAGAAGAGAATACTTAAAATATTTATTCGTTTTTTTAAGGTAGGTACAATTAACGACACACTGTTGCACTTGGGTTACTTAGATTAAATTGACAATTCGACATTCTATAAATAAATGCGTTTTAGGACAAATTTTATTCGTATTGTTATTCTGGCGTTTCAAAACTATTTTCCGTAAAAAACAACCAACGGTATAAAATTATCAGCGACAAATGATGTACGATTATTATGTCAGGATTAGCTATGACAAATCTCCCCTACCGAAGCCCTCACGTAACATTTAGACTTCATTCATTTTTTTCATCTTCTAAGGTTTAGACCAATGACCTATGCCTAAAGGAATGTTTACATTATGACCGCCACGTTGAAGGGTCGACTTAAGCCGATAAGTCCTTGTCTTAAGAGAACGAATGGAGAATTATTAAATCCACAATTTATAGTTAAAAAAAATAATTATCAAGAATGACAAAGGACAATTGTCCCAGGCAGATATCAACGGGATAATACGTATCCTACCTTTAGATTGGTTACATATGCGACGTTTGCATCGCTGCTAAATGGCCCTGGATGTAACCATTCTAAGGGTCGTATTCTAGAACTCTACTCAATGCTCAAGTCAGGATTGCACTGGAAACACAAGCACTGGAAATACGACCCTAATGGCAAGTACTTGTGTATGATTTTCAGTGCTCACTGCAATACTCAAGTCCTAACTTGAGCATTGAGTAGAGTTCTGGAATACGACCATAAGAGTTACATGCAGTGAAATCTATTGACAGCTCATAACCAAGTCAACAACTTACTTTTTCGCAAATTCAAAGTTTTAAACTAATTAATTTAGTCTAATGTTCTTCGCTGTTACTGCAGATGCTTTTGCTAGTATCCAAATATATTTTGTATCTTTTCAACAATTGTAATTTTTAATTTACCCCTGACAACCGCCGAAGACTTAAATACTATCGAAAATTGTCGAATTTTTATAGCCAACTTAGAATTTGATTGTTTCCAATTCGGAAGGAGTTGTACAAAACGTCCCATTGCCAAATTATAACCTGCCGTTTGTCACGGGTTTATTAACAAGTTTTAGTGGCAGTAAGCTCCTTGTGAAAGAGTTCGTCCAGTGAAGTACTGCCATCTTACCTATTGCAGCCGCCAAGCGTTAATGTAAGCATTACCGTGTTTCGCTTTAGAATGGTGAAATTACAGGCACATGGGACTTGTCAACTTATGTTTTAGGGTGACGGGTGCAGTGGCAGTGCTCCTCAGATCTTTGCGATTTAAAGCTCTGACTGGCACTGCACCTGTTATGAACAGGCGCGTAGCTTACCATCAGACGCACGACTTGTTCATCCCGTCACTCGGTATTATATTAAAAAAATAAAACAACACTTGTTGGTTATATCATCAGCTTGTACAAAGTGGTAAAAATTTGGTGTTAAGTGCTTAAAACTATTAAACAAAAGCAATTATCCAACGATGGTTAGTAATTACCGTCATCAGTCGTCCCAACTAGGCCAAGCTCCCGGTTCCAAAAATGACCGGTAATTTATGGTACTTGTGCCTGTCCTGGATACACAGACTATTGATTTCCAGTATTCCAAGTTCTAATAAAAAACCTTAAGCAGGAAAAGATTTTGTTACTTTTGCATTTTTACCCAAAACGGAATGAAGAAGAAAGGATATTTATTTTTTAATAACACTGAGTAGTAGCTTATAGATGTACCCCAGAAATCTGGCCAAGTCGCAAATCGTACGGGACTAATGCTAATGTGCAACCGGTGCCCAAAAATGGCGTCGTGCCAACCCTACGAACCTCGACCTATTACAATCACCCCCAAACTCAGTAAGATTATGGGACTTGAATTGTAAAACCATCCGGCGCTTATCTGCTTACGCCTTACATGGGACCTTCTTCTGAATGCCGTGCACATATTTATAGAAAACCCATTGATAAACACGGTGACATCTTTTGAAAGTCAACATTTCTGAGACATCTATTCTGAGCTATTCGATACTATCGCACAATGTCGGAAAGATATTCCTCAGATGCAAGGTTCGATTGAAGTCCAATCACTCAGGAAAGCTGTAGAGTGATAGAGAGAGAGAGAAAAAATTTAATCAAAACCAACAGAGGCGATGCCATTGTGCTCATATTCAATGTCCCGAAAACAGGCGTGTCTATTCCGATATATATCTGTTATACCACTCGACGATCATCTTGAACACTAACATTTGAATCATCCTGTAAAATTAAGTGATAGCAGATATATCAGCCCATTACTACAGCGTCTGCAACCTTTTCAAAGACAAAGGCTACTTCACATCGTAGTAGCTCTTACTTTACCTTATTTTTTCATAGAGCTCAAGTACGCTCCTCTTTGGTGTAACGGAGTCACTTTTGATTCATGAGACCGCCGAGTTACTCGTTGGAAACAACTTGCTCGTTAAGGCGTACATAGAGAGGAATTAAAAGAGTCTCAAACTCAGACGTTTGCTAGTTAACATTTCGTTATTTTATAGGATACATTTTCAAGGGATTGTGAGGTTACATCATTAATCCCACACGCTTCTTTTAGCCACTGGTTAACTACATTTAGTGAAAGGTTTCACCCTTAAACTACAGAAGCTCCATCAATACACATAAACCTCTTGCCCGTTCATTATTATTACTGATTGAATCTTTACAGTGTTCTGTATTCTTCGAAAGATACGGTATAATAGACTGTGTGAACGGCCATTTGCTAGTTGAGCATGAACCATCTTCGTCCTTATCTACCTTTACATGAGGTGAGATGGTTAAACCAACTTAAATTGAAGATAAATTCTTACTGAGTAGTAATAACGCACACACTCAACATAGCCCCGCACTAGGGAAACCTTCTGTCGCGGGTGCCATGGACACATGCATAGACAACCACAAATTACACGCAAACTCACAAGAGAAATAAATGTAAATTTTTGCCCGGCCCGGGAGTCGCACCCGGGACCTCTGCGTGGCGGATCAGTATGGTACCTGTTCGGTCAAGCAATGTTTACTTGGTATATTTTTTTAAATATTACATCATATGTCCGGTTTTATTATGTATTATATTGATTGGAGACATTTTAAATAATATCAACAGTAGAGGGATTCAGTACCGGAAATCTAAAATTCCATATCAGGTACCGAATCCGCATGCCTTAGTCCCAAACATCCGTACCAAATTGGCATTTTAAAAACATTAAGGAGAGAGACATCTCTTAGAATCTTTCTGAAGTAGGTACATTCTAACGTGAATTTACCTCGCTATACGTAGTTCGAAGACTTTGGTATAGATGGTGCTTATTGTAATTTTTCAAACCATACTGAGACCAATGCTTTGTTTTGTAAAATTATTGATTTCAATTTCAAATAACTCGTATTATGTATTAAATAAGTCGTATGTCTACTTTAGTGCGTTTGCTTTGAACAGTCTACCTTTTACACAGAATTTCCCCCGCACGTCATGCTATCTCTTATTCAGCCGTGTTAACCAGTCCAGGTGCGTACACATTGTGTCCGCATCTGGATCCGGATACCAAGCATGTCAATATAAAACATTACGGCTACCGTGCGGTCAATACGCGTGCGAATCAAAGTTCGCGAAACACGAAAAAGACTTTAAACAAGCGTGCTCTGCGGCTGGTCACTGTTGCATTTCTTTCTGCCTTGTCTAATTGACATAATTTCAATCATTTACATTTTGAAATTTTATTTTTAATATTTTTATACTTTATTTTTATACTTATTTTATAAAAGAAGTATTTTTTTATATCGTTTTTTACACTTCATATTTTTACGAAGTGTTTTTTACATTTTTATGCACTTTTTGCAATTTTGTTGTATTAATAAGTAATACAATGTGCCTCTGCGGTGGTGACAAATTCTTCGGTTGTTTGGCCAGAGCAATGTACATGACGCAAAAGTAAGTTCCTTATTAGATTTAACAAATCTAAGTGGCTGATACGATGATGTACCAACGAACTCGTATAACTTAACTTGGTAGTAATCTATCTAAATGATATATCGAGTAGAACAATCTTTTATTTATATTAGACATTTCAAGAATAACACACAATACCTGAACGACAAAATGCGTGATGGTCATACATCGGACCTTGGAAATTTGGCAGAGCTAACGCGTGGTGTAGTGTAGACACTGCGAATCCTTTATTGTTGCCTGCATGAAACATGGATGCCATAGGTATCACCCCCAGGGCAGCTGATAAACACAGAAGGTCATTATTCGCCAACCCCAGCTAGTGTAGTGTCCCTTTTGGAAAAATCAAGTTTGTCTCGCGACGCAGACCAAAATACCACCTACTTACCTTTAATTAAGATTAAAAGATAAAGTGTCTATTTTTTCTATAAGCATGTATATATTTCCAGTTACCGTCAAATCAATATACATCGCCCCAATGGGTGTTGGGAACGTTTTCCAAGAATGACGAACCTTCTGCGATATGCAGGTTTCATAACAATCTTTTATTTCTCCGTTAATTTCTACTAAACATGTACTTAGAAATTAAAACCATACGTACATGGCGCCACAGAGTTTCGAACTCTCAATTGAAAAATAACCATTCTATCTCTGAGTTACTGCCGCTCCAGGTGAACCTTATTTACTTGTTGCTTTATATTAATACATTCATAATTTTATATTTAACGGCGTACGTATATATGCTTAAGAACGTCACTGCATTATATGTGTCGTGTTCCGTAAGCAGGACCGTTCTGATATCAAATTGTACGAAAACAAAATTTCGTGATTCGCCTTTCTGATCGACTTCGGTTCGGTTTTTCAAAGAAGATCGAATCTAGTACAATATCCGTCACGGCTTTTACTCGTCTTTTTATTTCTCGAGATCGGCTTGTTTTTCTGGTAATCTTTTTAATATTGTTTTTTTTTTATGCATTTCTTTTATCAATATTCGTCTGAGGTTATATTATATGTATATCTATTGTCATATTACTGTATCAATGCCTTCGTACGCGTTCAACACCTCGCATTTTCAGTATTAAATGCCCTAAGCTTAAACAACGTATTATTGATCAAAAAGTACTAAGCAATTTTAAAACTAGTATACTAAACGTCATTTCCATAAATCCTTGTTGGGAATTTGGATTTGCGAGACCGGGGGAAAACTTTTTCTTCGACGATAACACTAGTTTTGTATTCTAGCCCTTTAAGTCAAAAACGCGCGGTGGCTCGAATTATGTGTCCGGAAGTATATTACAAGCAGTTATTATTAAGTTACATAAGCCATAGCCTAATGGTTTGACCTACGGCCTCTCAAGCAAAGGGTCGTGGGTTCGAATCCAGCCTCGCACCTCAGAGCTTTTCGTAATTTATGTGCGAAATTTACCATAAGCTTTTCGATGAAAGAAAATATTGCACAATATTGTGCTGAAACTGTAACTGAAACTGTATTGTGATGTGTTGAACATCGAAGAAGGTTCACAACCATTGGACTACGTGTGATGTCCCCGACACGTATTTTTTAAACGTTTGCTTTTCTTGTGTGAAATAGTTTATCGTTGTAGTAAATTTTAGTGATTTTAAGCGTCATTTAGCTCGGGAATAGATGATTAGGGCTGTGGGTATGCTGGAAACTGGGTGCAATGAATGTGATGTTGCAACCGCTGTCAACGTGTAACCAATTGCAATTTGCCGATTATGGGCGCGCGAGACAGGTATCTTAATTTATTATGCTCCGAAATCTTATTGGGAAACGTATAGAGTTCCCCTTATACGTATCGTTTACCTTAGTTAAACGAAATCGTGGTACCTTGAGTTGGGACTTAGTTCCAAGATTAATATTATGGACATCTACTTTCTTAATGAAATGATGTGAATTTGATGGGCCACAGTCAGTCTCCTTGAACTTTTCTCTAAGAGAAACCCTAGAAGTTCTAGCTGCTAAAACTGCACAAGTCCAATCATAGATTAATAAATATATAATAAATACTAAATCTATGAGTCCCATAGGGTTTTTCAATTTGAGATTTAGGGTCGTATTCTAGAACTCTACTCAATGCCCAATTCAGGATTTGAGTATGGTTTACAGCACTCGAAATCATACTCAAGTCCCTGCCATTAGGGTCGTATTTCCAGTGCTTGTGTTTCGAGTGCAATCCTGACTTGAGCATTGAGTAGAGTTCTAGAATACGTCCCTTAGAATGGTATTTGGGACAATATTCGAATTAGATAATATGTTTTGTTTTGTCTTCCGCAGAGTAGCCTTGTGTTTGGCAGCAGTAGCGGTTGTGACATGTCTGGTAACATCAATGGTGATTGCCGGAGGAGTAGGCGTCGGCCTGGGCTACCACTATTGCGTCGTTGAGGCCAAAACTTATCAACTCGGTAAATACATACACCGTTAAACTTATCCTGGTGATTTACATTTCTACCGGTAGTATAATAAACCCTACCACTGAGTTGAACAATCAATTTATGCATCTATCTTAAAGGAAGTAGAAAGTTTCAGAAACTATAGTCTGAACTCTGCTTAGGCAAACCTTCTGCCCGTACTAAACTTGTTAATGACTTCAATGAACATTTGTAATATTTTGCAAATATAAATTGAAATACTTCATTTCTACGTACAATTTTTGTATTATATTGAACCAAAATTTACAAATCAACTTTTTCTGTCTTTAAATCTGAGATAGACTATTACACGATTTGCGTGAAATAGAAAGTGTGATGGTGGACAGGCCTCAGCTAATTTAGTTTGTTTTTTTTATTACAGATATACAAACTTTCCGTCGCGCATATAACAAAAAGCCCGATATCCTAAAAAGGTCCCAGAACCTAACAGATGTACGAGCTGAAATAGAAAGTGATGGTTCAAATGGTGAAGACTTCCCCCTGGCACCTTTCGATGATTCAGATGGACAGACAAGCGAAGAACAGCGAGAAGGGGGAGAAAGGAGCGAAGGAGTTTCATATGGTGATGGAGACTCTACTCCTAATGATCGTGATGGAAATGCAGGGAGAGAAGTAGAAGAAGAGAGACATCCACCTGTAGGTGGAGGTTCTACTGATGATGTAGAACCTTCTGCAGTTCATCTACTTTATAAAAATCTAGATGATGACGGAGACGTTGCGGAAAGGGAAGAAGAAAGAAAAAAAGGAGGGATAGGTAGAGGGAGAAACATTACGGGAGATACAAGAGCCTCATCTCCCCCTTCTTCACCTTCTAATGGTCTAGAAAGACATGGTCAAGAAGTCAGAAACGGAATTCGAAAAAATCCGCATTTCACGAAGGATTTACAAGATCCAGAGGAGAATACGGGAGACGTTGTCAAAGAAACCATTGAATACAGACCTATAAGTAATGATAAAAGCGGACTTTGGCTGTATGGTGACTATTTTAATTTCAGTCCATACAATCAAAAGCAATACCATTTGAACCTCAATAAAAATCGCACATACGAACCTGAGCAAAAAAAGTTTATATCTGATGGTAGATGGAAAGCCTCGCCGCTTCTGTCTAAGCTTGGAATTATTAAAAACCAAACTCGACGTAAGAGTTGATATCGAGAGTTTCTGATACGAAAGGCGGTAGAGAATTAGACTGAACAGTTAGTTTTCGTTTTGCATATCATCTACAATCGCCATAAAAAATAAAATGCCAGACTGAGGATAAACTTACATATTCATGGTAATTACAGTCAAGAGATTCATGAAAAGGCATCTACTTGATTGCCGCTATGCAGCAGTGCTTCAAAGATGGTGTAACGTATTTAGTCGAATGAATTCGAATATCCCGCTAGATATTCTTCTTGATTTATTTCTCTGGTGTCGACCGCCATATTGTATAGGGGTGTTTTATACGAGTTCTTTTTATACAATCAGAGGACTTTTTATTACTTAGCGAAACTTTAAGTGAGGCATTCATCAATATGAAGAACTTTTGCTACAAAGCAAAAAATAAAAACCTTTTTCTCGAGCGGATAATAAATAATTTCCGTTTGTTTGCAAAAGCAAAAGTTGGCGGTAATTCATATTATCTTCGATCTAAGAGCGGTTATACACGCACAACTTTAGCAACGATGCAAGCGCGATGCGGTAGCTCATCTTCTACCTTTACACACACACGCGACATTAAGCAGCGATGCAAACGCGCGAGTGCATTTATGCATTCGGACGTTTGTATCAATGCAGTCGCCTACAAATCGCAAATGTAGCGATGCAGTCGCCGTGTGTAACCACTCTAAAACATTGTGTAGTGATAGAATGTTGCCGTTTATCGACTATCGATATATCGATATGATTATAACAAATACTAATAGCATCTTATGTGCAAGTTGATTACAAGCTTCTTGTGGCGATTTATTAATAATAATGATATAATACCAGATTCGTAATGCTCGAGCGCTTTGAGCAATCCCAGTAGAGCTCCTTCTGAACGAATTTGTCAAGGGAATGACTGCCACCTTACCAATTCCTGCCGCCGAGCGATAATGTGAACATTGCTGGTAAAATTACAATCACATGGGACTTGCCAACTCATCAACATCAACAATCTCAAGGTGATGGGCGCAGTGGCAGGGCCACCAGATCTTTGCGATGTAAGGCCCTGATGCTGCATCTGCTATGGACAGGCATGTCGCCTACCACCCGGGACACGACTTGTTCGTCCCGTCACTTAATATAAAAAAATCCGGATATGGGAATATTTTGACCATTTTGATTGGTGAACACTTTAAATGTATAAAAGCAGAATGGATTTATTCGACATACATGTATCTGAGAGTCATATTGTTATTGTCATTGTCATTTTTATGTATTCTCATTAAAGTTGAATTTTGTCGATTATAAACTGGGATATACAATCACTGTATAATTTTATCGAGCTAGAAGATAACCTAGTATGTTCATCACTAAATTTCACTTACTAATAAACAGTCACCTGGTTTTTTATTTCATTTTGTATTAATTTTTTACATTTTTTTTGTATGTGGTTTTTTCTATTTATTTATTAGTAATAAATAGCTGAATGTAAAACATTATAATTCTAGAATCCGACAACCCCTGACGCCTAAAGACTAAAATTTTCCTGCTTGCCGAGAAAGTTCCAACAAGGAGAATGTACACAAAATAAAGGTCTCGCAAAGGGTTAAAATAATAATAAATAATAAAATGAGGTTAAATCAAAGCTTCTTTTAGATTATCCGTATTTTCCACATAAAAAAAACAACATTATTGTTGACAATCATAATTATAATAAAGTCTGCATTACAATTTTATTGTGTTGCCATTACCGGCATAATTACTGGGGGTTACCTATCAGTAGTCCGAAATGACCTTTTCCAGAAATAACGTTTGCCCGAATTTTCATAACCTCGAAAGTAATTTTGAGAGGAAAATGATTTTTTCTTTTAAACCAAACTTAACCTGACCTAACCGAACGTAATCATGTCTTTGCGATAAACATCCAACATATCGTGAAAGAACAACGGTTTCGTTATAATTCGGATTTCGGTATAATGAAAATTCGAACAAAAATGACAGCGATGAAAAAACGAGTTTGTGATAAGTTGCCTTACTGGTCCCTTTTCATCATTGTTGTTGTGTTTTTCACCAGCTTGGGGATTGAATTTCGAAAAATAAGTTTTTAGTACGCCTTTACTACGTAAATAAAAGTACTAGATAGATAGATAGATATATAACTCGTTTATTGCTGAATCACAGTACATCACAAACAAGCCTACGACATAGTACAATGGTAATCATAAAGAAAAAGGCTAGTCTAGGTGTGCGGGCATGGGGTCTGGAATATTATGTTGTGTTAGGTGTAGAGTTGACTGTACTGTGTCAGCAAAAAGGGCCTCACTCAGCAGTCGAACTGCGACGCTGATGATTCTGCCAGGTCCTAAGGTGAGCCGGTAAAAAAAGTAGTAATATACCCTCAAGTTTCCATGTTTCTGTGACGTATAGGTTTTGTAGTACGCACATCTACCAGTGAGTAGCTCCGGACCTTACTCCTTTACATAATACAATTATAGATAGATAAAGAAATATATTACCTACGCCTCATTACTCAAGTAACCGCATGCTGTCGACTCTAGCTTGCAACTCCACTTTTCCATTTTCTCACACACTGTATATAAACAAATGCTTTTCTGGTCGATAGATTGGATCAATTCAACACCCGGCAGATCTGTAATCAAACTACAGTACAGTTGTGGACAGATATTTTTTAACCCCAGCCTTTACAATGTTCGTGACCTTTGTCAAAAATGTTGAGACGTTGAGACACTAAGGTAAAATGTAAGGTGTTACAGAGTTTTGGTTATGGCCGAATGAAGTAAAGAATTCCCGGAAAGTATCAGCAACATGAAATACATTCTTCTTTTCAGTGGCGTACAACATTTTAAAGTAAATTTTTGCTAAAGAATTCGCTACAAAATCTCGACAGGGTGCCTCATAGAACATTCGATTTATAACCCGCAAATCTACTATTAATGAGCAATTGTTTTCGTTATTTAGCGAGAAAAACTTGCCCAAATAATGTGACGACTGCATAAAATTACCTTAATATGACGGAGTGACGTCACGGACGCCATACTGCTAGTACTGCCATTAAGCTACTCTCTGTTTTAAATTATTTTAAAATAGTTTATCTGGGTATTAAGTCCGTATTTTAAATAAAAGCAATAAGTTCGAGTGTACGTAAGTACACTTCATTACCACTTGCCTGTGATTTTTCTAAAATATACGTAAGTATATTTTAGAAAAATCACAGGCAAGTGGTAATCCAGTCACGATAAAACTATAACACACACTGAATTTTAAATTAAAGTCACTCGTAACGGTCACCCATATTAATAATTCACAAAAATGAATAAGTGCAAGGATTGTGGCAAATTTCTGTCGAAGACTAACGTCATGGGCTGCGTGCAGTGCCAAGCCAGGTACCACAACATCTGTGCGAGAGTTCCAACGGGAACCAATGCCTCTCCTGCCTGGCGCTGTCCGGACTGCCGATGCTCCTTGCCCACTGATAACAGGGACGAGACCCCCGTGCGCGGCATGGGCTACTACTGGCCAAACAACACTCGCCCGCCGCCGACGATTCCATCGTCGAAATCATCAGCCGCGATGGCGCCGCACGCGATTCAGAGCAGTTGTCTGTCGAGGTCGCAATCCGGTTGTTTCGAGAGGAGTTGCAGGAGATCCGGAGAGAGATCCGTGAGTTCCGGGGCGAGTTTCTCGAACTTCGGGCCTCATTGCCGCCGATGACCGCGAGGATGGACGACATCGACCGCCGGCTGGACAACGTCGAGGAAAGAATGGCTACCAATGTCAACGTCAGTGCCGTAAAGGTGTTGGAGGAAGCGGTGGCCAATCTTCAGCTCGAGTTGCACAACAGAGACCAAGAGCGTCTCGACAACGATGTGCTGATTACGAACGTCGTTGAGGGAGCCGGTGAAAGTGTGTTGCACATCGTCGCGACGATCGGTACCAAGCTCGGTGTGAAGCTGGACGAGCGGGACATCGTCTGCGCTGAGCGTCTGGGTGTGCGGCGTGAGGGCGGCCAAGATCCATAGTAGTGCGTCTGGCTCGGCGGGTGACCCGTAGCGAGTTGTTGCGGGCGGCGCGCGTGCGCCGGGGGGCCACCACGGCCGACTGTGCGCTTGTCGCTTGAACATGACAGCATCTTCGTACCAATTTTGATAAAGTATAACAATTGTCTTGATATCAACAGCATCGGTGCAGCAGCGGTGGCAGTGCCCCTCAGATCTTTGCGATTTAAAGCTCTGAGTGACACTGCAACTGTTATGGACAGGCGTGTAGCTTACCATCAGGCGCACGACTTCATCATCCCGTCCCATCATTTGATATTACAAAAAAAAAATACTATTCATTTATTCTTTAGGATCCAACACATGTAGTAGGTAATTAACTGCCTCCGTGACCGAACGGTTACCATGCCGGACTGCCAAGCAGAGGTCTCAGATTCGATTCCCGGGCCGGGAGAAATATTTGTATGGCCTACATTTCTTTCTCTCGTGAGTTTGGGTGTAATTTGTGGTTGTCTATGTGTGTGTCCATGGCACCCGCGACACAGGGTTTCCCTAGTGCGGGGCTATGTTGATTGTGAGCGTTATTATTATTATTATTATTATTAATTAGCAGCTTCTTGTACAACTTAATTAGAACAAATCAGGACTTAATTACTTAAGAGCTTTCTTCTTTAAAGATAGGATAATAGATTTACAGTAGCAAAAATGTGTCAAGATCCACCTAGTGAGCGGACTCGACCTGAATTGCTAAGTAAAGCACCCCGGATATAGGATAACAAGATTAAGACAATGACTGGAACCGGGTGTCACCCGGTCGATCGTTAAGTTTACTGTAAGTAAGATTTAGTGTCGCGATTCAACCACCAAAAATATAGTGATTACCACACGTTCAAACTTTGAAGTTTATTCATACGTATAATAATTATAACCCTTATTTCATCGAATTTTGCATTTCTCGTATTTTTACGTAATAACCAGCGGAATATAAAGAAACGGAGAGATCAAAGCTTGTATCCCACCGGGATGGCGCCCGTTTTCAGCATGCCTACGGTTCTCAATATCTCTTCTGTAGTAAATGTTGGTGTCCCACAGTATAGAAAAAACCACCAGTAGTAGATCATTCAATTAGAATACTTGTGAAAAAAATAAAAATTCCGTTTAAAAACAATTTAATCATTACACACATAGAGAACAAAATATTGTAACAATTGTTTTGTTTTAATTTTAAATTTAGGATACAGGAAAAAAAGTACTTTAATGCATTCAAATTAGCTTGATTATAATGATTATTATTATTTATTTGTTGAGCATAGGCTATAGAGCCATCAGCTTAAACATGTTACTATAAATTGAAACTATACGCAATTATATATTACTTAAACTTATAAGAGATTTGTGAAAAAACTGTAACTACACAAACACTCAATTTTTTTTATTAGAAAGACATTGTGATACACGTCAAACTTCCTAAACCAATGATGGGACACATCGTGTAATCGAAAATCAATGTTAAAATATCTCTACTAAACTATTACATATTTTAATCACTGTTAAAATCATATCAATTGCTGAAATCAACTCATTCATCGCTAACAATAATTGGGGTTAGCCCCACGAATAATGGCAAATAGGTGTGGTGGTGGTGTGTGCCACAAAACTATATAAAATTCATAACCTCAAAAATGCGTGATTTTCATACGTGGCGTGTCTGTAACCATAAAAAATACTCAATGTAACCGAAAATAATACACCGTAGCTCAGCACAACACGAGTAATTTACAAAAAAAAAAAAATCATTCAGGTAACATTTTACATATTACCGCCAAATTCTTTCTCGACTGAAAGAACTAGTAAGATAAGTATCTTGTAGTTCCCTCAAGTGGCGCTAGATGGCATTGATCAATTTTTCGCTATTACTGAATCATGACGTGAAGTTTTTCCTCGAACGGTGACTGCTTCAACCGATTTTTAATGAAGATAGATTCCACCTTATAGCACACCAATGGCATAAGGAAATCGAGTCACGTTATTCTCTGCCTATAATACCAAAGTACTCACACGTTCTCGGGTACCACTAGCATGGACGGACACCGCACGATGGCACAGAGTTTTGTCCGTTACACCTTGATCAATACATAAATATATGAAATAACGATAGAACAGACAGTAAAGTTAAAAGTTACATGACAGCGATATTATTTTTTGAAGATGGACAAAATGGAATTTTGAGTATTCGTTTCGCATCTGCAATCAGTGCCTCTACCACGAATCCACGAGATTAGTGGCAGGTGTCCCTAACGACCGCGTAAATTACTTCACAATTTTCAATACCTAATGATTGGTTGGTCAATGACCTAATGGCATTAAGTCCGCTATTTGTACTGTTTTGCGTGCAACAAACTTAAATAAAATAAATAAGAAGTTGGGATATCGCTGGTCATAGAGTCGAAAGGGGATTAAGTATTAAGAAAAATAAACCATAATTTATAAAAAGGACATTTTTTCTTCTCAAAGTCACGAGATTTTCACGCCCTCGTCGCCCTTAGGCCTGCTAGTCTATTCACCGGATTAAGAGCCTTCTGTCCACGCTTGGGTTCGGCATCGCAGTCAAGGCCATCAGCATCCTACTGCAAAATTGTGATAGACATTCAAAGCTGATTAGTAGGTATCTGCGCATCCATTCTTACGGTAAGGGCTCCGTGAAACCTATCTGATAACTGATTGGGAATTTTTAGTTTCATATTATGATAAAAGTCACGTTCTCAGTATTTGTCAATGTAATCAATAATAGATGCGCAAAAGAATTGTTACAAACACAGTTCAACTTAGCAAAACATGGCCGCCCCGTGCTCGCGCGCTCGTTCACTGCCCGGTCTCCTCAGACTCAAAAACAATGTTACGTCCGATCTCTAAAAACCTCCCACCAACGAGCGGATCAGCCTAGCCTAACCAAAAACCCCAGTTACCATATTTTTGGTGTATAATCTCTATTTTTTTAAATTACTGAACCTAACAATACACTGTTGCCTTCGGTAATTCATCTGCCGCTCTCATCCTACTGCGACAGAGTGTGTGAAATGTTTTCTAGCATGTCAATATACCGCATAAAGAAATCGAAATTGAATACGTGTGAACTTCTCAAACTGCATTGGCCTAGCTTAAAGTCTAAACCATCTCCTTAGAGAAGAACTGTGTCCAACAGTGTGCCGTATTGGGCTGATGATAATGATAGATGCTTATACAATTAACAAATGAATCTAAAATTAGTTTCTTTGTCGAGAAATTTGTAGTTGAAGTCAGTGGTACGGGGACGCTCCGTTGTTTTTCGGTAAAACGATCTGTTTTCACATTTGCCCATAAATTGTCTATTTTGTAATGCTAACCAAAAAAGCTTTTAACTGTTCGATACATGTCATATACACCATCGTGTAAGTCCACACTCCACCGCAACCCTTTCGACCGCACAAGGAGTAACGTAGTTTATTCGTTACTCGATGAAAATAATATTATTATACATAGTTCACTGTGCTATGTACAATCGATGCCCTAAAATAGGCCATTTCCTCAACCTGGCCCCGTAGTTTACTAATAAACTATTTTTTGTTTTTCTAGTGGAGATTGTAATTAGCACTGTCACCTGTTACTTAACATACATATTATTATTATGCATATTTATTTAGTTCTTAGGGTTTCGCAAGGTTTCTTATGTTTATAAGAAATTAAACTATTTTTTCAGATGAAAAATCCCAAGCAGACAAGATTGCAGTATTAATTAATTTATTACAATTATCATTATTTCTTAATAATTATATTTAAGAAGAAATTTCTATTGTTAAAATAAAATGATTTTGTAAAACTCATGTAACGCAAAATGGGAACTTTTTTTAATTTTAAAATAAGGTAAGGTAATTTTAAAATAACTTTTTAACAATAGTGAAAAATAGGATGATTTGCATTAATGTTAGACATAACTAGTTGATGACTTCATCATCTGCAGTCAGCTGGGGCCTATAAAGGGCTCGAAACGGTGGTTTGAAAAAACAAATATACGCGATTTAAATCCGAAAAAACAGTTACATTTGTTGATAGAAATTTGCTGTAAATCTTCCAAATAATAAACAAATAAATAAAAAGTTTCTTAAGACGTTGTAATAAAGGTGTAGTTTGTTTAACAGCTTTTTTCACACCGATCTACTCAGAATCTACTCAGAATCTACTCAACTGGTATCGTAGAGCCTTGACTGTACAATTTCGTTACAAAACTTTGTATCCGTTCCGTTCCGCGACAACGTAAATTGAGACAACGACGACAACCAAAATTATCCTATCAATCCTTTATTTCATACATCTAAGTCCGAGGGCGGTTTGGTAAGTCTGGGACTTTGACAAAAACACATTTTATTTTAAATTAAGCAGGACTTATTTTTCTACGTAAAACGTTTGTCAAATTTTGACAAATAAGCCTCTGTTCCAACGACCACTTCCTCAAATCTATTTGATACACATCTTTATCCGCCAATCCATGTCTTCGTGTTTGGGAAAAGGTAAAAGTTAGATGGAGTCTAATCGGTGGTTCGTATTGTATTTCGACAAGTTTTGATGTTGCGATTGCAGATTGTATTCTGCGTCTTCAAAAAATATACCGACCTCACCAACTTTTTTATATTCGCGCTAATTTTAAAAAAGTAAGGTCTGTAAGGTGCTAAGGAGTTTTAAATTAAGAAATAAAAATAAATTCTGACAAAATTTTTTATTTAACCTTAAAGTCACATATTTATCAAACCCCCATAGGATAGAAAAAAATAAAATCAAACCACCCTCGTATGTGCCAACCTTAGAGAATGGAAAAAAATAACAACCTTATGCCAACGATGGCATCATTGATTGTCGAGAATAAACTTGTTGTCATGTAAAACTACGCACTAACACTTTGCAGTTTAGACGACGGCCCATGACGAACACTCTTCCTGGTGCTGCTGTTTTTACATTGTGGCATGAATTCTTGAAAGTGAACAACGTTGACCTTATGAGCCGTCCCGCGTGCAGTCCCGACCTGGCACCTTTTATTTATTTCCAAAAATTAAGAACCGTTACGCGGTAAACGATTTTCATGAAGAAACTGTCGAAGAGTATGGTTCATTCGTATGAAAAAGTGCATTAACGCTAACGGAGAATATTTTGAGAAACAATAAATTCATTACTGACCATTTATAGCATTTTTTTCTTATTAATTCCGGAAACTTATAGTGCGCCTCACGTACAAGACCGTTCTGAATTTGATTTTTACTCTTCAAATATAGAAACAGGCGGAAAAGGATCAAACTTCACTTAGACACATAATATGCCAGGTAGTGTTGGCATAAAGAAAAATGTTCATAGATAATGAAAAAAATAAATTTTTCATAAAAAAATAATATTTTTATACGGAGTATTTTATTATTATTTTTTCTATTTATTTTCCAAATATTTTAAAATAAAAGTAAAGAATTTTTGGAAAAATATTTTGAACATTTACTTTATACAGATACCCAACTTTGTAAATTTTAAAAAATATTTTGTTTACTTCGTTTTCTCGAGTTATCAAAAAAATCCAAATCAATGAAATTTACTCTTTTTCGCTCATCACGCTTTACGCTTTTTACCTTTCTCTGATTATATTTTTTACGAATGCTATATGTAGTGGTACATAGACTTCAATATCAACAGAATAAGACTTATTTTAAAATAAAACAACAATTACTCAAACCAACAACAATATATTTCAATTGACATTCAGATAAAAAAAACAAAATACCAGGAGAACAATTCTCGCATACAGTGACATGTTGTCGGCTTCAAAATAATGTCACTTCATCAATGGTAAATGTCATTAAAAATCACTACTATTAAAATTAATACTTATTCTCGGATTACCGAATTAAATTAATAAACATGGTTGCTACGTCGACAGATTTTGAAATATCTATAAGTACACGTTACGTTATGATTTGTTTTTTTTATACGTGACAGGCAGATGTCTCCACACTTGTTAAATGGAAAGTAAAATACAAACGTGAAGGGACCTAGTGCAGTGTTAATACAATCACAGCATTAGCCACCTCCACCCTGCATGCCTACAAGATGCCTCTTCACGTCTCGTTTGAAGAATAAGGAGGGAATAGAAGAGAGTTTCATTTGTCGACTGTGCAACAAAGAAAGGTGACAGTGAAACTTTTACTGCGTGATGGAATACGGTAACTAGTAAAAACACAATATTGAACATAGTATTTAGTTGAGTTTTTTTTTTTTAACCCATACCGCTTTGTACTCGTCGAGGCAGCATAGGAGGTCGCATCAGACTCTCAATTTATAGAGATTATTGTTAAGGCATAATTAGATAAGTTTAATTGAAATGTTACAAATTATGCATATAGATGGTTTTGATTATGCTGTCAAAGTACGTAATTTGATATATACAATTACGACTTCGAGCAAATAGTGTTTGTTATATGTAATTATTGCGATATGCGATGTTATTAAATGATCGTTATGCCATCAATGCCAAAATAATGTTTTTTTTCATAAGTCAAATTGTTGATATCTGTCTCGTCTCTATACGACTCTGCGTGCGACATCCTGATTCGCTCTGGACCTTTTGGAGGGAAAAGTGTCGTTTTTATTTTGACTTTCAATTATTTTGTGAAATCTAAAATTAAATAAAAATTTAAAATGGAATAGGGTAGTGCTATTGTGCCTTAATCGAAGATTAAAACGCGAAATTATACGAATCTCAAACTAAAATACCCGTATCGGCCCGTTTTAAGGAATCCCGAGTCAGTCTAAGCACGCCGCCTCAAATTGCCTATCCACTTTGTGACGGCCATATTTACAGAAACACACTACAGGTAAGTCGAACACTTTCGACAGACCTGTAGTGAAATTCTGAGGGATATGAAACATTAGGTATGTTCTTTCGAGATTACTTTGTGACATTTGACATTGCTCTGTTGCACGAGAATCATGTTCTGATCAGATGACAATGCTGCCACCACCTCCATTCCTAATATAAATAAATTATTATTTTAATAGATGGATGCAGTAGAAACATTGCGAGATTGAGAATAGTCGTCATCAGTTCTCGTAGTAGAGGAAATCCTGAAAAAAAAACCATTCTTGTAGAGATACTCTATCATCGTAATCCCACTGCTGAACACGGGTTTCCTCTAAGGAAAGGGTTCAGGCCATTCTCCGATATGGTAGCTCAATGTCGATTGGGGATTTCATACGTTTCTCAAGGGATATGAACATTCTCCGAAATACTGGTTTCCTCACTACGTTTTTCTTCACAGTTTCTTTAGCGAGAGTTATTGCAATTAAGTATTCAGAAATGTACATAAGTTACAAATTATCTCTCACTTGAATACCACCGCTCTCTTTTGGAGTATTTTTTTATTTCAGGATAAATATTTATTGCTTTTCATTGTTAAAAGGGAATAAGAAATCATTGGTATATTTACAATGTACGTAAGGTCAATATAAAAGAGCCGTGGTCGCCAAATGGTTTGACCAATCGAGCAGAGGGTTGTGGGTTCGCATCCGGACTTGCACTTTTACCGAATTGGTATTAGACTTTATTCCCAGAAAAATTTAACCAACCTTAATGTGTTTGTTAGATATAAGCTTGAATTAAAGAGCTTACTCAGCGGAATAAGAAAAAAAAAATATTATGACCTGCATTTTTTTATTGATTTAATACAAAAGTGTGATAGATGTGTTAAAAAACTGCCTCTGTGGCAGAACGGTTACCATGCCGGACTGCCACGCAGAGGTCCCAGGTTCGATTCCCGGGGCGGGAGAAATATTTGTATGACCTACATTTATTTATCTCGTGAGTTTGGGTGTAATTTGTGGTTGTCTATGTGTGTGTCCATGGCACCCGCGACACAGGGTTTCCCTAGTGCAGGGCTATGTTGAGTGTGTGTTAAATTAATTACCAGTAACACTGCTATACTAAAAAAGTCCAAAAAGCAGCAACACTTAAACGCTAAATTACTCAAAAACATTTAATTAAATCTTGTATGATGGAAAAAAATTTCGTTATAGGATTAGAGGATGGAATAGTCTAAGATTATAGCTTGGATGATGAAAAAAAATTAAAGGAGATTTAAGGACTATCCACACACATCAGGGCCGTGCCCGGGACGTGGACGGGGCGTGTTAGTTTGTATGAACTGCGGGCCCGGCCCGGACACGGACATGTGTGACCGAGTTCATACTAAATATACGCAACGATATTTTTAAGCCCCTGACGGAGTACGGCCCGACCACGTCCCGGGCACGTCCCGAATATGTGTGGATAGTCCTTAAAAGATGGAAACAAAAATGCAACAAGAAAAATCTCTTCGCCTCACTCTTTGCAGAGAGTTCGCGTCTGGATGCCGCAGGATACCTACCACCTTCTTTACCTCAGACTGGATGGTACTCAGAACTCTGCGAAGTCTAGACGTGCATAAAGCTAGCGGGCCAGATGGAATTCCAGCAATAGTCCTGCGTAACTGTGTGCCTGTGTGGTCTCCTGTTCTCACACGCCTGTACCGCCTCTCACTTGAGACTGGTGCAGTTCCCAGGTCGTGGAAGCTTGCAAACGTGCAACCTGTGCCAAAAAAGGGAAGCAGTGCTGACCCTGTCAATTATAGACCTATCTCAGTCACTTCCATACTCTGCAAGACTATGGAACGTGTACTCAACAACCGTCTCCTATCATACCTTGAAGACAACGACCTCCTCAGTGATCGCCAGTACGGATTCCGTCGAGGGCGACCTACTGGGGATCTTCTTGTGTATGCCTGTCACATATGGAGCGAGGCGAAGCACTTGCAAGGCGAAGCAGTGTCTTTGGACATTTCTAAAGCTTTTGACAGGGTCTGGCACGCAAGTCTATTAAGTAAGCTTCCCTCTTATGGGCTTCTCACTGACCTTTGCAATTGGTTCTCGGATTTCTTGAGCGAACGTCCGATTCAAGTGGTCTTAGAAGGCAACTCTTCCGAACACATTACAATTGATGCCGGAGTTCCTCAGGGTTCTGTACTGTCTGCAACTCTCTTTCTGCTGCATATAAATGATATGTTAATTCCAGGTACCTTTGCGTATGCTGATGACAGCACAGTTGTAGATAGGTACTTGACCATTGCGAGGGTCAGCGGAGAGGAAATACAGTTTTGTCGAGAGTCCATGGTTAGCCGTTTGGATTTGACGCTCAAGGCAGTCTCCGATTGGGGCGATGCCAATCTGGTCAAATTTAACGCTACCAAAACGCAGGTGTGTCTATTCTCCACAAAGGCGTCCCTTTGAGCTGACTCCAACTTTTCGTGATATATCCATACCGATAGCCGACTGTCTCCAGCTACTTGGAATGGACCTGTCGACCTATTTGAACTTCGGCAGATACATTGAATCCATGGCTAAAAATGCAGCAAAGAAGCTTAGCATCCTTTCCATGGTGAGGTGTTACTTTACACCAGGACAGTTGCTTCAGCTGTACCAAGCGAAAGTCCGGTCATGCTTGGAGTACTGCTGCCACCTTTGGGATGGCTCTGCTACATATCAACTGGCCACTTTGGATTCAATTGACAACCGTGGCAAGAGGCTTATAGGTGACTCGGAATCAATGGAGGCGAAGCTACAGAGCCTTGAACACCGCCGTAAAGTTGCCTGCTTATCGGTATTTTAAAGGATATATCACGGAGAGTGTGCGATTGAATTACACGATTTAATTCCGCCTTCCCCTTTCCATCATCGGGGGACCAGGCGTAGGCTTGGGTTCCACCCATATGTTGTGGATATTCCAAAGATTCGCACGAAGCGTTATGCTTCCACAATTATGTAGCGAACGGCTATGGAGTGGAACTGTCTGCAGACTTGTTCCCTGAACGTTATAACTTGGGCCTTTTCAAGGCGAGAGTGAATAGGCATTCACCTACATCATCGTCACTTTCCATCAGGTGAGATGGAGATCAAATACGCGATTATGTTTTATAAAAAAAAATGTCATTGACATCCGATCTGTCAATATATTTTTTATGGTATTGGCCGCTAGTCCACTAGCTAAAAAAATACATAAAAATCCGTTCCGTTATAAATAATAAAAATAATCCAGAAAACTCTGATTTAATGTTTTTTTTAGTTTTCTGACACTTTAAATGTTTATTTGGGAGACAATAGAAAAATACCCGGAAAAATCGAATAACCGGGTAACCGAAAATTAAAAACCGAAGAAACCGGTTATCAAAATCACTCGATTTTTGCATGCCCTACGCAGTACTTACAATAAGGAAGCAAGTGCCAATGACAGCAGTCTTGTATTTGACGTCGAGTTGTGCCGGGAATCGGATTTGGAAGAAGTCGTCGTTGGAATTCAGGTCCCGCAGCCCGCACCAGCGCTTGCTGATTACGCCCACCTTCTTCTTATCCAGATTTAGCACCTGGAGGACAAACTTCTTTTAGCAGAGGAAATAATTTTTTAAGCTGACACAGGAAATGTTATCATGCTGGCGTATCAAATTTTGTATCAGTCATTATGGTCGCATCATCGTAATTGCTTCTAACCACAGAAGAAGAAAAAACAATGGCCGTAAGCCGATTACTATGAGAACTGATGTCGCTAAAACTCACACATTCTTAATTTGAAACACTACAAAATCTTGATATTGATTGGTCGTTGTTTCAAATTTAAAAAGAAATAACAAATTCTGGATTGTTAATATAATTTAAACTTTACCCTATTGGCATATCGTTGAAAGTTCAATGTCATCAATACCTATTATTGAAAGTTACAACCTTTTGATATTATATTGAAATTTCATCAATGTACTGCCATCTAGCGGTTAATTACTGAACGATTACTGAAAAGAAGCGGCCATATTTTTCTTTACTCATGTGGCCATTTTGCAGGGGTATAAGCTTTACTTTCGTTTCCAGTAACAAAAAAAATATTTCGGTAAACATAAAATTGAAAATTTATTAAAATTAGATATTCCGATGATACGAAATACCACCACGGGTTATAACTCGAAAATACATTTTTGGTGCGGTATTTTTGTACTCCAAAACATCTCAATGACGCATTTTTCTAGGATTCTAGAGAATTTGCAAGAAAGTATGACACAACCATACCGTACAAAGCAAAAATGGCGGACTGAGTTCAGATAGATCTTTCGAGACCTATAGTTGGTACGCGTTGGATGCTAACTAACCACTTCTACTGTATTTATTGTTCTGTGCTTCTAACCATTCGGAAGAGTTAAACATTTAAAATAGTTGCCTATCGTATACGGTCCCTCTTGTCAGTAATGAAATTAAATTAAATTTCTTTGCCTGAAACAAGGTTTACAAAAGATGATACACATAATTCCACCAATTGGCATGCAAATATAATGTTATAATTTAACAATTTTAAAGTAATTCTAACAGCAATACGAGTTATTAACATTTATTATAATACTAAATTATTGGTAAGCCATGAAGCAATAAAAAAAGATTGGTGAATATTTTTTTTCTTTTTGGTCAAATAGATTTAACTAATAGGGGTTAAAGTATGAAATTGCCGATTTGTACTGAAAATCTAAATTGTTTATTTTTTAAATTTTTAACAAATTTATTTAATCAAAATAGTTGCCATTATTATCTATACATTGCTGCCATCTAATGGGAAGGTTATTAATGCCTTTGCGATAGAACTCCGACGGTCTAGACTGCACAAACTGTGTGAAAGCATTTTGTACTGCCTCCTGGGAAGAAAACTTCTTGTCACGTAGATAATTGTCCAAATCACGAAAAAAATGGTAGTCCTTTGGAGCAAGGTCAGGTGAATACGGAGGATGACGAATGGTTTCTAACTGCAGTTCCTGAAGGGTCAAAATGGTTTCTCGTGCTGTGTGAGGTCTCGCGTTGTCGTGGAGCAATAATGGTGAAGATCGATTCATGAGTCGGGGCTGTTTTACTGCTAGTTTTGTCAACATGGTTCGGAGTTCGGCACAATAGACATCTGCCGTTATTGCTTGACCAGATCGGAGAAAACTATAGTGAATAACACCATGCTAAGACCACCAAACAGTTACCATTACCTTTTTATTGGTAAGTTTTGCTTTAAGACACTGTTGTGTCATTTGACCTGGGGTCAGCCATTGCATTTTTCTTTTCCGATTATCATAAAGAATCCATTTTTCATCACATGTTACAATTCGATCCAATATTCCTTCATTTCTGTACCGGTTCAACAAGGCAACACAAGTTTCAACACGCGTTTCTTTCTGCAGATCAGTCAAATCATGAGGCACCCATTTTTCGTATTTTTTTATTTTATTGATTTGACGCGTGTGTCAATATTGTGGGTAAGGTAACGTTAAACCATGCCGCTAATTCCTGGGTAGTTTGACTAGGATCGGCTTCCACTATCTCTCTTAATTCATCGTTATTCACCTGTGTTCAGGATGTTCTTCACTAACAGTATGTCATTTTTTAAATTGATTTAATTCTTTGGACTGAACTGAACATAACCGGGGATGGGCAGTGGATTAAAATCAAATCAACCCGCCCGGGTTTTAAACGAGTTTTTACCCAAAGCGCCAAAATACACGAGCTTTAACCCAGTTCTGCTCAAAATCCGTGGGCAAAAACGGCAAATACAGAATTGGGTATTATCTCATATTTATTAAAAATTTTGATGTAAAGAATCTTTTGTACATGAAAAAGAGGCAACTCCAGCACAATACCCACCATAGAGCAGAAATATAGTGTACATCAGAGCAGAAATATTAAACATTGTCAAATGAAATAATGAGATGATTAAAAAAAGAAAAACCAATGATATACTGAATATCTAAATAATAAAGAAAAAGATTTAAATCCAAATACCAATGATATAAACATTTAAAACTAGAAACAAGTAAATTGGTATGACTCTACCACCAGACAGATAACTTACATCAAAATCACAAACGCCCGTCATACTAACTGGGCCCTTCACACGCAACACGGCTTTGTCACCGGCATCGTTGATGTTGAGCACGGGTTTCAGGAAGGTCATTTCCTGGCGTACCACACTGGCCAGCTGACCGCACACGAACACCTCCATCTTGTCCGGTCCGAAGGTGTACGGGCGGCGGAGGTTGAACACCTGGAAATAGGAAGTTTCATGTTCAAATTTATGTACAAACGCTAAAAATTTGTGAACTCACAAATACCCAGAGACGTAGTTACACGTATACACATTTTAATTTAAAATTTTCGCTGAGTAAAAGTTGTATTTTGGGACGTTCTTCAATTCAAATAGTTGCTTGGAGAAATTATAGCTATACAATAACCATACATTCATACCAAAAGTAAAATTTTGCACAAATAATCGGAAAAGAAAAGCACTACTTCCGACGAAATAAAAGGGATCGAATATTCGATGTCCCTTAAGAGAAATGGAACGAAATAAGAGGACGACAAGACGATAATTTGTGACAAAACACAGAACGGCCATGGGCAGGATTCGGAATGGCGCCAAATTGATATTTTTTACAAGACAATGTTTGTATAAACTAGGAACTATTATTACGGGCGCCTGGTAAGAAATGACATCCTAAACTCTTGTTGTCACCCGTCATTAGCAATAAATTGTAAAAGGGAAGTATAGAACATCTAACATCACTTCAATCGGAGAAATCGGTCCTGGCTAACCTATATAACAGACTTTCCCAAAGTGGGCGATAACGCCCCCTTGTGGGCGCTGCAGGCCTAAAGGGCGATAAGAGACCCAGAAAAAAAATGAGGGCGTTGTGTAAAGGCTTAGCGGGACATTTGAAATTTCATTTAGGAAAACTCTTAGACACCGACTGAGCTCTCGACTCTCGACTACAACTTGTGAACATCAACAAATATTAATTAAGAGATAGCTCAAACTAACTCGGTTCGATATTTCTCTCCGTGTAGTTCATATATCTGTCCTGTTTTATTGAATAAATAAAAATAAAATAGAACCCGTTTTATGACTGTTTGTTTCCCTGAATAAATAAAAAAAATCATGTCAATCGGTCCCTACGTTTCCAAAATGAAAGTAGACACAAAGAAACGTTTCGCATTTTAATAGTTATTAGTATTCCTAGATAGATAATTTTCGTAGATAATAGACAGCGGGCAATCGTATTTTAACAAGTTTTTGTTAAATAACCCGATTTGTTGAACCAGCCGATTGATACAGGAATGCCTGTATCAATCGGCTGGTTCATAGAATACTTGTTCTTACTTGTTAAGTACGATTGAGCGTCGAATGAGATAAACGAGTTTATGCATGTTTGTCTTATACCTGTCGGGGCGTGCTGCTTATGCAATCCTATATAAACAACGTAATAATTATTTTATTTTCATTTGCGGTTTCGCGCGTAATAGATAAGCAGTACTTAAGTTTAACACGTACTTACGTATTTCTCGAAACAAAACAATGTCGTAAGTAAAAAAGAAGAGACGGCAATACTGTGCGGAATTAAATTCGGATTCATTGAAAATCTCACAAACCCATCGTCGCCTTTGTGCCTTCTATGTCTAAAAACATTTTCGAATGAAGCAATGAAGCCTTCAAGACTGCAAGATCATTTGCATAAAATGCATCCATATAAGAAAGACAAGAATGTAGCATATTTTCAAGCCCTAGAGAAGAAGCATAATACTCAGCCAAGTGTAGCAAAACTGTTTTCGGCGGCTGCTAAACAAGATGACGACGGACTTCGAACTTCGTACAATATCTCTTTGTCAATTGTTTAAAAAGACAAACCACACAACATCGGAGAAGAGTTAATTTTGCCAGCAATAAAGGAAGTAATAACTACTGTGCTTCATAAACCGGCCGCAGATATTATCCGAAAAATTCCTTTGAGTAATAATTCTGTGCAAAGACAAATTGATGAAATGGCTGAAAACATTGAAGAATCATTGTGCAATCATCTGAGGACTAGTCAATTCTCAAGTCAGCTCGACGAGTCCACTTTACCAACTAATAAAGCATTGTTGCTGTCTAACGTGAGGTTTATTAAAGATGAGAAAATATGTGAAGAACTATTGTTTGCTAGAAATTTAAACACCGATACAAAAGGCGAAACCATATTCAATACATAGGAAATGAAACTATTTTTCCGGATTTAAATCGCGTATATTTGTTTTTTCAAACAAATCGACGTTTCGGGCCCTTTACAGGTCCCATGGTCACGGTTGACTGAAAAATAGTTTCATTTCTATGTGTAACAATCGCGAAAACCTAAGAACTCGACATATTCAATACATTGGAAAAGTTTTGTGATGAAAAATAGATTCCCTTGAAATATATTATATCAGTTGCTACGGATGTCGCTCCGGCTATGATTAAGGCTTCTTAGCGTAATTAAAAAATAAAATTCCATATGTCCTTGCTGTACATTGCGTTATTCATAGACAACATTTGGTTGCTAGAAATTTAAGTGAACGACTATTTCAATCTCTGCAATATGTCAACAAAGCAGTCAATAAAATCCGTAACAGCTCTTTGAATGACAGATTATTTCATCAGCTTTGTGTTACTAATGACGAAAATTTCAACCGTTTGTTGTCTCATACTGAAGTTCGTTGGCTATCAAGAGGCAATAGTCTCACTCGATTTTACAACCTGGTTGACTCTGTGATAGAGTTCTTGGAAACTAAAGATACAGAATTGCGCAACAAGCTCATTACATCAAACAATGATATAGCTTACATGACAGACCTGCATAAATTGTTCAACGATATGAATCTCCAACTGCAAAACGATGAACTAAATTTAATTAAAACAAAAAATGCCATTGCCGCTTTTGCAGCCAAACTGCTTCTACACAAAAAGAATATGGGCAGACGTGAGTTTCACAATTTTCCGAATTTATCAGTATCCTGCAGTAACGACGACTTGTTGACCTGAGCGCCGTTGTGTACTACCTACTGCGCTCAGGTCTCAAGTTAACTCTTGCGGGTTATAGTAAAAGTCTCGTTTAGGATGAATGTTTAATCTCCGATAATATAGCTCACAATAATTAATTTAATTTGAAGGTATGTATAGTGGTTTTCAAGTACCTAGGTGAAAAAATGGGGGCGTAAAAAATAATTTATTCTCAAAGTGGGCAGCAGACAAAATAAATTTGGGAACCCCTGCTCTATAAAGTCACTTTATGTGAATATAAATTACGGTCATTTTAGATGCTTTATCTACATTAACCTGCGGTGATATGTTTGCTTTGAATTTTTCACATGCTGTTAAGTTTTTTTTAATCCTTCGGCCTCTGTAGTCAAGTGGCTTGCACACCGGTTTTCATGATGTCGCCATCCCTGAGGTTCCGGGTTCGATCCCCGGCCGGATCAATGTAGAAAACTAACTTTTCTATATTGTCTTCAGCTTCAGCTACTTACTCAGAGCAACGTATGTGATGTTATCTAATATTTATTTAATAATAAACGTACAAAAAAGATGGCAAACCACTATCTCATCTGATGTTAATTAAACCCTTATTCCATTCCTTAACCGTACATACGGTTAAGGAATTCTTGATACATATCAAGAAGAAAGAAGCAAAGCGCTTCGTGAGAATGGGTGGTAAGTTAATAACGTGAGAGTTGAGTGCTCCGAACTTTCTATGAAACTGAAGAAGGAACAGGTGAACAACACAATATCCGTAAGGGCGCTTGAAATATATAATAGCTAGGTCCGCCTCTGTGGCATCCTTCTCGTGACGCTTCTCAACGTCTCCGGAATGTGTCGTCGCAATATACTTTCCAAACATTTACACTCCAACGAGCACTCTAATACTGCTACACATTATGTTGCGTGCCAAAATACAATTCATACAGCACAAATTGAGCCTTTTACAGTAACTACAATGTCTCTTTTTCATCGTTACAAAAATTGTATTTCAAATTGTCATGTTTTTCAACTCATTCGTAAAAACATGTAACTAAGTAGGAACTAGAGTCGCAATTTGAGTCAAAGTGTACATGTTTGCTTTCTTTGTAGATGTATAGTAAATAACTTACTGTTACTGAGAGAGAAATATGCGGCACGAAATAGGCCACAATCGGGCGCACCCATAAAGGAAATAAAACGCAACCGACGCGCCTAATCCCACTCAAAGCTATTGTAATCAAAAAGAATACATGAATATATTTCGTAGATTCTTTTAGACGAAATATACTTGAGTGAAGTTTTGGACGTATTGTAATTAGCTATGGTAGCCTAATGGGAAAATAGCTGTTTCCAAAAATATGTACCTCTCAGATCGACGGTTCCTAGTCTATATTCACAAATAACCTTGACTTTAAGAGCGGTTACAGACGACGATTTTTAGCAGCGATACAAATGCGTGACTGCAACGATACTAGCGTGCATTTGCTTCGCTACACTTGGGATTTATTAGGCGATTGCATAGCTGCAATCGCGCGTTTGTATCGATGCTTAAACTCGCCGTGTGTAACCTAATTTCTAATTTCTAAGTTACTTGGATGTAATTTGATATTCAATTACTCACATTAGTTACTTATATTTACAAATCTTTATTAGCAATACCTCTCGGTAAGGGGGAAAGCGAACATTTATTTATATATTTAAACTATATTGCACGTAAAAAAGTAGAAATAGCTGACTTTAGACCATTAGACATTCTCCACCAGCTAATCAGACAGCTGGGTTCAGAAAAATTAACAGGTGGTCTATAACATGACAAACTAAGATAAAAAACAGATAAGATTTTAGTTAATAAATAATTATGATACATAATTTACGTACATAAATATACAATACAATATTATAACACCTAAGCATAAGTATATAAACAATATATACCCTTTCGATCGTCATACAAATACAGATTGTTTTTTTTTTCACATTTGCTCGGTGCAATTCCCGGATGAGCCAAGCAACTTTTTAAAGCAAATCTTAGAATGCAGTATTACTTACTTTTAAAAATAAAATAAAGTCTCCTTGAAGCAATGGGTATCCTATGTACAATATTAAAAGTACTTCCCTCCGCATTACATAGCCGTGAGACATCCTGTATAATACACACATACATGTCAAACTAATGAGATGCAGATGAAGCCTTCAGCATGGAATTGCGAGCTATTATAATTTCTTGAAAGATATTT